CACCTGTAGTTCCGGCTACTTGGAAGGCTGAGGCAGAAGGATTGCCAGAGCCCAGCAGGTCGAGGCTGCGGTGGCCGGGAGCGGCCACTGCACTCCAGTCTGGGCGACAGAGTGAGACTCCAACTCAAAATAAATAAATAAATAAATAAATAAATAAAAAATCTATGCCAGAGTTTATAGCACTGTTTCAATATTAATTTCCTGGTTTTGACTATGACTATTTTTTAAAAGCATCATTAGGAAAAGTTGGGTGAAGGCTACACAGGAACGCTACTATTTTTGCTACTTCTTGTAAGGTAGAAACGCTTTTGAAATACAAAGTCATAACAAAAACAAAAATAAACAAAAAACACACAACCCTGTAACTTTTTGCTTCCCTGGAAACATTAACCAGGGTCCTTCTATCTAAACAAAAAGGCAGACTACTAGATACCTGTATCAAATTACAAACTACAATATATTTAAAGATGAACATATTTTGCTTGCAGTAACTATGAGTGATAAACTGACTTCATCTCATGTTAATAAAGACTTCTACAAACATACACAAACTACTGCTTAACAGAAACTTTCACAAATACAGTTATGTAATTCTGATTAAAAAAATAAACCATTACATGTGCTCTATCATAAACATGGTAATTGTGACTTTAGAAGACAAATATGAAGAAAGGAAAGTGATTCTGACATGGAAAGCTGTTTACGTTTGTAAGTTTTCGAGTCCTAAGTATAAATGACAGAACTAGAGATTTATTTAATCCTGACACACCATACAAAGGAAAACAATCTATTTGCATTAAATGATGCTCAAAATGATGAATTTAAAATTTTCAACCAATTTTTCTGCTTTTATATTAATGCTTGAAGATGTGGAATTTTCTTAATTATCTTTACTTTTTTTATTCTGCTAATAAACTTATTTATTTTGCTAAAGAAAATATTTTTTTTCCAGATTCAAGTTCTGTATTTGTTTTCTTCTTCTAGACTTTTGCACCCCCTGCTGGAGAACAGGTCTATTTTCCATGGGAAAAAAATGGTCACTTATTTAATTTCCCATAAATATTTTGGCCAAATGCACCATGTTTTTCTTTCCCAGTCACCACTGAAATCACGGAAAAGCAACCAAGTAAAATCTCAACTCAGAAGTAATACATAATTAAGCCCACTGATTTATGACCAAATACATATCAGTTTTTAAAAATCGAGTTTCCACTCACCTTTGTTAAGGAGTCCACCACCCGGGCGCATAGAAGGGCTCCTGGCAGGTCAAAGTAGTTATCATAAAAATAATACTTTCCTAGAAAAGAATACCATTTTAAGTTGGAAACACAGTAATGCCTCACATGTGTGGAATGCACAGAAATGTGGCTGAAGAGACACTCAGTTTTGGTTTAATTATCTGAAGGAACCTCCATTTTGACTTAAAATGGGCTATTCTCATCTTCGAAGGAAGGCTTAAGCTCTGAGGGCACCACAGGAAGGTTGAGGTAAGATGTCTATAAGCTAAGCATTTTATTCAAAGATATTTTAGACATCTTAAAAGATGTGAAAATTATAAAGACTATACCCTGAATGGAATACAAAAAAGGCAAAGGTATGCTATCCATGTCACTAAACTTCAAAATACACAAATAACCTGATCCTGGAGTACCATGACCCGCTCTACAAAACTGTTTTTCACACCTGTGTTGGTGGCATTTGCAGGACCACAATCAATGTTTATGCCATCTGAGACAAATTCCTGCACCAAGTGAGAACAGGGTGACAAGAGGAATACACACTATGCCATGCGAGCACACTCTCATCCTAGGAAAACTCAAAAGGATGAGACAGGACAAGCCAAGGGCTCACCTGGGCCATTCGTGTCCATGTCACACTTGGATCTGCTGTTGATGACCCAGGTCACATCTCCTTGGCCAAGACACTCTGGGGTCTGCTGTTGATGACCCAGGTCCCATTCCATTGTCACTCTGGGATCTGCTGTTGATGACCCAGGTCCCATCCCCTTGGCCATGTCATTCTTGGATCTGCTGTTGAGGACCTAGGCCCTTCCCCTTGGCTGTGTCACTCTTGGATCTGCTATTGATGACCCAGGTCCCATTCCCTTGGCCGTGTAACTTTTGGATATGCTATTCATGGCAAAGGTCATATCCCCTTGGCCATGACAATCTTGGATCTGCTATTGATGACTCAAGTCCCATGACATTGGCCCTGTCACTCTTGGGTCTGCTACTGATGGCCCAGGTCCCATCCCCTTGGCCATGTCACTCTTGGATCTACTGTTGATGACCCAGGTCCCTCCTCTTGGCTGTATCACTCTTGGATCTGCTGGTAGGTGATACAGGTAACATTCTTTTGGCTGTGCCACTCTTAGATCTGCTGTTGATGACCCTGGTCTCATCCCCTTGGCTGTATCATTCTTGGGTCTTCTGATGATTATTCAGGTCCCATGTTCTTGGCCGTGTCACTCTTGGGTCTTCTGTTGATGACCCTGGTCTCATCACCTTGGCCATATCACTCTTGGATCTGCTGATGACCCAGGTCCATCACCTTGGCTGTGTTACTCTTGGATCTACTGTTGATGACCCAAGTCCCATCCTCTTGAAGTATCACTCTGATTTGCTGTTGCTAACACAGGTAACATCCCCTTGGCCATGTCACTCTTGGGTCTGCTGTTGATGACGCAGGTCCCATCCCCTTAGCTGTGTCACTGTTGTGTGTACTGTTGATGACCCAGGTCCTATCCCCTTGGCCTATCACTCTTGGGACTGCTGTTGATGCCAGATCCCATCCCTTGACTGTGTCTCTCCTAGCTCTACTGATGACAAAGCTCACATCCCTTTGACATTGTCACTTTTGGATCTGCTGTTGATGGCCCAGGTCCCATCCCCGAAGCTGTGTTACTTTTGAGCCTACTATTGATGACTCAGGTCCCATCCCCTTGGCTGTGTCACTATTCGATCTGCTGTTGATGACCCAAGTACCATCACCTTGGCTATGTCACTCTTGGGTCTGCTGTTGATGGCTCAGTTCCCATTTTCTTGTCTGTGTCATTGTTGGATCTGCTGTTGATGACCCAGGTCACATCTCCTTGGTTGTATCACTCTTGGGTCTGCCATTGATGACAATGGTAACATTCCCTTGGCCATGTCAGTCTTGGGTCTGCTGTTGATGACCCAGGTCCCTTTCCCTTGGTTGTGTCACTCTTAGGTCTGCTGTTGATGACCCTGGTCCCATTCACTTGGCCGGGTCACTCTTGGATCTGCTGTTGATGCTCCAGGTCACATCTCCATGGCCTTGTCAATCTTGGTTCTGCTGTTGATGACATAGGTCCCACCATTCCCTTGACTGTGTCACTCTTGGATCTACTGTTGATGTTCCAGGTCTCATTCCCTTGGTCGTGTCATTCTTCAATCTGCTGTAAATGTCCCAGATCACATCCCCTTGGCTGTGCCACTCTTGGATTTGTTGTTTATAGCCCAGGTCCCATGCCCTTGGCTGTGTCACTCTTGGATCTTCTGTTGATGACCTAGGTCCTTCCCCATTGCTGTGTCACTCTTGGGTCTTTTGTTGATAATCCAGATCCCTCCCTTTGACCGTGTCACTCTTCAATTTGCTGTTTATAATCCAGGTAATATCTCCTTGGTTGTGTCACTCCTTGATCTGCTGTTGATGACCCAGGTCCCATCCCTTTGGCTGTTGTCACTCTTGGATCTGCTGCTGATGACCCGGACCACTCAACTTGGTTATGTCACTATTGAGTGTATTGTTGATGACCTAGGTCCCATTCCCTTGGCTGTGTCACTCTTGGGTCTGCTGTTGATGCCAGGCCCCATAACCTTAGCCATGTCACTCTTGGATCTGCTTTTGATGACCCAGGTCACATCCCCTTGGCTGTGTCTCTCTTAGGTCTGCTATTGCTGACACAGGTCACATCCCTTTGGCTGTTGTCCCTTTTGGATCTGCTGTTGATGACTCCCCAGACCACTCCCCTTGGCCATGCCACTATTGTGTGTACTGCTGAAGACCCAGGTCCCATCTCCTGGGCCATGTCACTCTTGGGTCTGCCATTGATGACCCAGGTCATATCCCCTTGGTTGTGTCTCTCTTTGGTCTGTTATTTATGTCACAGGTCACATCGCCTTGGATGTGTCACTCTTGAATCTCCTGTTGATGATCTAGGTCCCATTCCCTTGGCTGTGTTACTTCTGGGTTTGCTGTTGATGACCCAGGTCCCATCCCTTTGGCCATGTCACTTTTGGGCCTGACGTTGATGACCCAGGTCACATCCCCTTGGCCTTATCAATCTTGGATCTGCTGTTGATGACCCAGATCACATCCCCTTGACCGAGATACTCTTAGATCTGCTGTTGATGCCCCAGGTCCTATCCCCTTGGCCACGTCACTCTTGGATATACTGCTAATGGTGCAGGTCACATCCCCATGGTTGTATCTCTTGGATCTGCTGTTGATGGCCTAGGTCCCATACCCTTGGCCATGTCACTCTTGGATCTGCTGTTGATGACCCAGATCCCTCTCATTGGCTGTGTCACTCCTGAGTCTTCTGTTGATGATCCAGGTCCCTCCCCTTAGCCATGTCACTCTTCAATCTGCTGTTCAAGACCCATGCCCCATTCCATTGACTGTTGTCATGCTTGGATCTGCTGTTGACGACCCAGGCTGCATCTCCTTGGCCATGTCACTCTTGAATCTGCTATTGATGACCCAGATCACATTCCCTTGGTCATGTCTGACTCCAGCCACACCCGTGAGAACAACATCCTTCCACCTTGGCACCACTGCACCATTCCCATTCTCTTCTCCTAAAAGTTCTGGAGCCCACATGAAAAGCCTCAACTAACGGGGTTGGGAATCAGTTACTGAATGTCCCAGCCTCATGTCCCCAGACTCTTGGAGTATTCTGTGCTTCTCCTCTGAAGGATCCATGGAATTCAGCATCCATTATTCTTTCTTTTCACATCTCACTCGCTCATTCCCTCACTCCTGCCTACTGGGATTAGGAATAACCACTCTGCTTTTGAGGGAATTTGACTGCAAAATGTCCTCTAAAGAACACTTGATACAAAAAGGATCAAATAGACCCTACAGTTGGAGCTCAACTTTAGTTTAACATTAAGAAAGTACTTTTCAAATGGTCATAACTATGCTTGAGGTCATCACCATAACTGCCTGGTTTTGAGTCCCCCTCCCTCCATTTGTAAGCTTTGTCTATGAGGCTATAGAACATATCTGTCTTGTTCTTTAGTGTTTTCAATATATTGTAAGCCCTATTTACTCAAAAAATGCTTGCTGAATGTGCAGATAGATTATTTATCTAATAATCATATGTATTACTTCGGAATGAGGGAATATCACCATTGGGAGAAAGCCACATGCAGAAGCCAAGGGTCTCCCTGTGAATGTCACTGAGTGTCTCTCACCTCTTCCTGTCAGCTTATTAAAAAAGGTATCAAAAATAAAGTCCAAGTTCTCTTTCTGTTAATTCACAAAATGGCTGTGCAAGTTTGTGTCCTTTCTATCTGCTAAAGACAGTTTATTTAACATGGTCTTTGTGTTTTTCATTATTTCATGTCTTAAATGGCTGGGAAACATCTCAGACTGTTTTTTCTTCCTACAAAAAGTGAGGATGGCTTTGCCAGTGTGAAGAACCTGGGATCTGGGAGAGAAGGAGGATAACATTCCATGTGCACTTGAAGACCACACGACACTCCAGGACTCTCAAGACCCAGGGCAGCGGCAAAGTTTCCCAGGCTCACTGCTCTGCATTCTGCCTTATCTCTTGGCCAGACACTAGACTGACCCCCCAATGGCCAGCTGTCCTGCACTGTTGCAGCAGGAGGTATCTCAGCACTGCCCATTAAAGATCCATATTTTTCTCCTCCCCTTCCCCTTCCTTTGAGGCACTGATAGATGGAAACCAATTCAAGAGTGGAAATATTGATTCAGAGTCATGGTTGGGGTCCAATAATGCAGTGGGGGTCTAACAAGAAGGACTTCTTGGCTCCTGTCCACACAGCAAAAGGCTGATGGTCATGTGACTGTCACACCTGGGCTGGAGGTCTACCATGTGGACACCTGGAGGATTGTTTAGCCTTGATCTGCTGGCTGGGCCAGGCTGCTGACTAGGCCCCTCAAGCACCCAGAAGCTGATACTGTATCCCGTGAACACTTCAATCTCTGCCTCCTTATAGAACAAGCAGCTCACCGTGAATGAAGTGATCAGTACACAAAGTGTAATAAAGCAAGCCTCTGAATCAAAACCCAGTTCTTAACCATTAAGCTCTGTTCACAAAACACCGCTTCTAAGAGCCCACAGCCAACCCTGCCCTCTGTCTCCACGACAATGGAACAAAGGCACAGGGATGAATGAGGGGAGGAGACAAATGATGTGAGCAAAGGTGTTCACTTCTTCTGCAGATGAGTGACATTATCTCCACTCAGAGCTGAGAAGATTGTGTTAAGAGCAGCTTAATAGCTGACCAGAGTCCCTTTATCTCACAAGTAATAGAGCTAATGTGATCCAGATCCATCTGGAACTGAGCAACTTGCAATTTCCACCATTCCATGCTGTCTATGCATAATCTACCATTGGGAGAAGCAGTTTAAAAGGACTTGATCTCTGGAGCTGGTGAGGAGAACCATCCTCATGCTAGGTCAATGACCTGAAAAGGGATTACCAAATACATCACCATTAAACATGTCTATAACCACCAATGCTTTAAGTTTCCTAAAGGTGCTGGTGGAGGATGGACTTAGAACTCTGAACCTGACTCTCAGGATCAATACACTTAATACAGAAGAAACCTTCATACAGAGAGTGAATTGTCCTGAAAACCGAGGACTCATTTGGCAATATCTATTCAAGTTTTACACCTGTATATCTTTAGAGCAAGTGTACTTCTAGGAGTTTATCCTGGATATATTTACAAAAGTGTTACATTTATGAAAACATCACTGCAAGTTTGTTTGTAACGCTGAAACACCAGACACAACACAGGTGTCCACCACTGGTAACTAATTAAACACATGCTACAAGCACCGACAGCAGAGCATGATGGCATTTAAAGGCATGAGGTATGTCATGTATGCTGGTGCCAGAGCTCCAAAATACAAATAAAAAGGAGTAAAGTAAATACAGGATCCCCTTTGTATAACCAAAAAAATGAACTTTGGGGAAAGGGGTTTCTGGAGGACAGAAGTTAGAGACAAATACTCTTCCTCCGATTTATTTTCATTATATTGAAATTTTCTAACAAAATGCTATTATTTTTTAAAGTGAACCAAGTTCAACTGGAATGTGGAATCACAGGCCATTTTTCTTTCTTCTTTTATACTAGGCATTAGCTTTCCCCAATTATAAAGCTCTTTGGGCTCTATTATGGGTCATAGCCTGACCTCCGACACACTTCCCCAGCCAACCCAAGTATGAGTGAACTCCAAGATAGTCCTCAAGAAGGCTTTGGGTCAAGGCCAAGTAAGCTCCAGATAGAAGCCATGAGTCAAGGCGGGAGCACCCTCTACTTGGAGAAGTAGTGAGTCGACAGGTGTATCTTAGGGCACATACTTTACTCCTTTAAGATACTCCAATTCGTCATGAATTTCAGAGCAAAACAGTCATGTGCCTGACGTTTTGGGAGAAGGGAAGAGCTTACACTGCCAACACCTGAAGAGACAATGGAACTTCTCCATCCTTACTTGAGGAAAGGGCTTTCTACCTGCTTGGTAAGTACGAAAGCATTCTGTCAACCCAACATGACATCTCAGGTTTTCTTATCAACTTATTTTATCAACTGCACCACACCACAATACATTCAGCTCACCAAAAACAAAACAGGATTCTCAAAAGATAGCAAATACAACAAAACAAACACAGTTACAAGGAGCAACTGCAGCTATTTTCAGGTTAGTATATTTTCCGAGGGAAAAAGGGTGCAATTCAATACTATAGAGTGGGAGAAGACAGCAAAAATAACAGAAAATTAGAATAAATAAAAATGAAAAATTAGGACTTTTAGTAAGGTCTACTTGTTTAGAAAAACATTTTAACCATTCCCTATTAATTGTACAAACCTATGCCTAGAAATAATTTTAAAAAATCATTCCATGTTTAACCATGGTGAAACTCTTTAAAGACCTCAGAAAAGAAAAATATGTAAATCATTTAAAATACAGGAAAATCTCTACAAAACATTACAAAAAGAAATTTGACAGGTGTGGTGGCATGCACCTATAGTCCCAGCTACTTGAGAGGCTAAGGCAGGAGGATCACTTGAGCCAAGGAGTTTGAGACTGCAATGAGCTGCGATCACATGACTGCACTCCAGCCTGGATGATGGACCAAGACCCTGTCTCAAAAGTAAAATAAAATAAAATAAAATATGGGAAAAGAAGACGTAAAGGCAGAGGATACTAACTGGCAGCTAGGAAGAGAGCTCCAGAAAACAGGAATGATGGGTAATGTGATGTGGGGAGAAATGAGAGTGAAGACAGAAAAGGATTCAGCACATAACAAACTGGTCAGGAACACAGACGGCTAAGGTAGGTGTCATGCCTCAGTGCCAATCTTCACTCCAGAACAAACCAAGTGGGAGGATCATCCAAAAAACCTTAAATAGAACTGTAACAACACGGCTAAATGACATCCTGGACCAGCTGCCAAGCAGGTATCACATACACCTGGAAAAAATACATTCCTATTGCTACACATCCGAGGCTGCTCCCTTGAACATCCTGCCTAGAAGAGGGGAGGGACGGTCTTTGTGTCCTGACACTGCCGGCTCACAGTTCCACCCACTCTTCCCATATCCTACCTGAGTGTTTGGCGAGAATCTTTCCCGCCATCCTACCTTGACTGTTTGGTGGGCTGCCTGCTTCTCCCCCCATATCATAACTGCCTGGTGGGGCTGCCCTCTCTCCCCTGTGTCCTACCTGAGCGACAGGCCATCCCTGTATCTGACAGGAAGTGCTTCCACTCCTTCTTGCCGTAGGCCTTGGCCAGTGCTTCGGGGGTCAGCATCTGGGTTCCATGGCTTGCCCTGAGTGGGGAGATGGTGTACATTGCTTATTACAGTTCCCTGCATGCCCCTTCCTCAGTGTTGCCACTGCTGAGCCTGCTGCTGCTGGCACTAATGCATTTTCTTTGTACAGTGGGTGTCTTTCTGCTGAGGGTTCTGTGAGGCATTTCTATAACAGCTTTCGCTCCTCCTTTCTCAGAACCCACCAGCCAGCAGGTGATTGGGAGATGCTCACCTGAGGTCAACACTGGGTAAAATACCCTCCTTTACAGGTAAGATATTGCTTGACCACACGGACGAGGGCGACATGGCTGGACAAGCAGGGGACAGTGGCATGGGCTGGGTAGGAGCTGGTCCTAACAGTGGCAGAGAAAGCACACCAGGCAGTGTTAGAGTGTGAGCCTCATGGGCCCACAGGAGCTGGGCGGTAGCAGGACCCACAGGGGACGACTGAGCACCCAGGACTGAGGACAAGCTGGGAGCAGCCTGCCACCTGAGGACGCAGCACACCCAGATACACGTGGAGATGCAGCAAGAGGGACGTGTTGGAACACCAGTGCAACAGGAAAGCAGGTGCCTTCTGGGCTTTAAATGCTGCATTGGCATCAGCTAGGCCTAGCTGACTGGTGATTCTTACTGGAGTCTTACCCTGTAGAGAATTCTGTAGTCCCCCCAGGTGCACAGTTATGTTTTCTGCAGTTTCAATTACCTATGGTTAACCCTGGTCCAAAAGTAGTAAGTGTAAAGTTCCAGAAACACACAATTCCTAAGTTTTAGCTGGCACACCATTCTAAGTATTGTAATAATTTTTCTAATTTATAAACTAGACTTTATCATAAGAAAAAAATCTCATAAATATAGGGGTCAGTCCCATCTACAGTTTGAGGCATCTGTTGGGGTTCTTGGATAACATCCCCTGCAGAGAGGAGCTACCATGGTTGACACTTTGTGGAGCTTATTAGGAAATTAGAATGACAGAGCAACATTATTCCTTTGGTGTTACAATGTGGTAGCAAAGTAATAAGAAGGAAAAAAAGTGAAGGAAGAAGAGCAAATGGGGGCACATCACACATGGGTGTCTCCTTACAACGAGGGCAAGGGTTTAGAAAGTGATGAGAAAGCCGGGCTCGGTAGCTCAGCCTGTAATCCCGCGCCTTTGGGAGGCTGAGGTGAGTGGATTGCCTGAGTCCGTGGGTTTGAGACCTGCCTGGGCAGCGAGACCTCATCTCTACAATAAATCAAAAAATCAGCTGGGCATGGTAGCACATGCCTGTAATTCCGACTACTTGGAAGGCTGAGGTGGAAGGATCGCCGGAGCCCAGCAAGTCGAGGCTGCGGTGGCCGGGAGTGGCCACTGCACTCCAGTCTGGGCGACAGAGTGAGACTCCAACTCAAAAAAAAAAAAAAAAAGAAGAAAGTGATGAGAAAAGATGAAAGAGTCCTGAGCGGGAAATATGGCTGGAAGAAGACATGGGGGAGAGGGTGAGATAACAAGTTCAGGAGAAGCAGCAGGTGAACCAGGGTCTGCATGGAGAGGCAGATGAGGTTGCGGGGGAGAGAAGAAAGAGATAGAGAGAGGGAGAGAAAGAGAGAGAAAGAGCGTGCAAGAGAGACAGAGACAGACAGACAGAGAGAGACACAGAGACAGACAGAGAGAGAGAAGGAGGGAGAAAAAGAGAAACAGAGAGACAGAGAGGGAGAGATAGAGAAAGAGAGGGGGGAGAGAGAGGAAGGGGGAGGAAGGGAGGGAAAGAGAGAGACAGACAGAGAGGGAGGAAGAGAGAGACAGAGAAGGGGGGAGAGAGACACAGAGAGAGGGAGAGAGAGAGGGAGAGAGAGAAAGAATAAGAGAGAGACAGAGAGAAAAAGGGGGAGAGATAGAAATGGAAGAGAGAGAGAAGGAGGGAAGGAGGGGGGGAGAGACAGACAGAATGAGAGAGAGGGAGAAAGAGGAAAGAAGAGACAGGAGAGGGAGGGAAGAAGAGGGAGGGAGAGGGAGAGAAGAGGAGAGAGACAGAAAGAAAGACAGAGACAGAAAGACATAAAGAGACAGACAGACAAAACTGAGGACACTGTTCTTTCAGTCACACCTTAAGATGGCCAAGCACAGTCAGGACCTGACAGCAGGGTTGAGAGTCACAGTCAAAGCTGTGTTCATATGCCATCTCTAGCTGTCTGAGAGAAACATGAAACTAAATTAAAGAACAATCAAGGTCAGGGCCATAGCTGCTCTAGCTGGATGCACCTCAGGGAAGGTCTGGGGAGAGTATGGAGGGAATTTATATCCTGCAAGAGGAACAGTGGCTTAAAGGGTTGAGGACCCTGTGCCGAGAGCCTTCTCCTTGGATTCTGATTGTGCTGGGTTGAGGGTACACAGTTGTGTGGCCGTGTGGACTAGCCTGCACTAACAGACCACTGACTGCTGGCAGAGCACGGTAACAGCCGCCTGTGGACCATGGGTAACACCCTTACCCAAACTAAAGAGGGTGGGCCCGCTCAGAACAGGGAGAAAAAGATGGTCAGTACTGCGGGGAAGGGCTGATGGGGGCTGGAACAGTCTAGAAAAACTTCCAGAAACAGCCAAGTACACAACACGAACCCCACATAACAGGGGTAGATATGGACAAAGAGAGAAAGATGGTGGTGTGTACAGACCACCAGCCCTGCCTCTCCACTTTCCCCTCTTTTCCTTAGTGGAAAGAAACCTGATCTTGCCTGGGTACCTGCATCCTCAGCTAGAATAGCACAATTCCCAGGCTCTTCTGCCACAAGGGGTGGCCAGTGAGGTGTAGCAAGTTATTAACTTTCTATTGTATTTCTTGCAAATATTTCTAATTAGGTGAACTTAAGGGAACTAGACCTTTCTATCTAATGTTGTTAGATTCATCTTTAAATGGCTCAAACAATTCATACAAAACCACATAGGCAGACAGACAACTTGCCATCTGATTAGCTAAAGCAATAATCTTATTTAATCCATACCTTAAGGGTTGTGTGCTACACAGTAATAAAGTATTCCAGAGAAAGTCAAGTTTTGACTTGACATCTAAAGTTCATTACCTGAGAACAGTGCCATTGTCTGCAAGTTTAATGAAGTTCCCATCTTCTAGGTCCAAGGCCAAACCTTTGCAACTAAAACAGAAAAGTCTCATTATCAACAGCTTCGTATACTTGGCTAGCCTCAAGAATAATCACCAACATTTTAAAAGTCATAATGCTAAAAAGGAATTCTCCCACCCAGGTGAATGATACGAGTACTCATCACACAAATAAGAAGACACAAGAACTGTAAAATTAAACATCCACCACAGAGCAGGCATGTGAGGAAAACTGTCATGTAGGCAAATAAAGGGAGGCGTGTTTAGACTGCAAACTTAAAAAGATGAATCTGAAACTCAGAAGAGAAGCAAGGCTTTGAATAGTATCCCATGCCTTTGTTAAAAATGTACTAATGTTTTCCATTAAATAACATACACACACTGATACTTTGCAAGCTAAGTTCCTAGCCAGTCTTTCCTACACTCTTAGAATTTGTCTTGATTTAGGTCAGGTTATAAGAACTTACCTCTGGACAAGGAATATTACTGAAAACCACTAAAAGAAAGTCAGATACTAAGTTTTTGGCTCCTCACTGTAAAAAACTTGTGGGATCTGGGAAGAAAAATGAGTCCAGATTCATTATTATAAATACTAAAAGCTACTGGGCACAGTGGCTCACACCTGTCATCCCAGCACTGTGGGAGGCAGAGGCGAGAGGACTGCCTGAGCTCAGGAGTTCGAGACCATCCTGGACAAGTTGGGGAGACTTCATCTCTATAAAAAATAAAAAAATTAGTCAGGCGTGGTGGTATGTGTCATTCCAGCTACTTGGAAGGCTGAGATGGAAGGATCTCCTGAGCCCAGCAGGTCGAGGCTGAAGTGGCCGTGAGCACACCTCTGCATTCCAGCCTGGGCAATAGGGTGGGACTGTGATTAAAAATAAAATTCTTAAAAATAATAAATAAATAAATAAATCCTAAAAGCAAAGAGGTTATCACAGCCACCAAAAAACTAAGAAAGTTAAACAAAAATTGCAGGGTACTTTAGAGCATTATTTACTATTATTCATCATAAAATTTCCAGAGTCAATAGTTTTATGTGAAAAATGTTTCTGTTTCATCCTTTACAAAAGGAATACATCAAGACAGACTAAGCAGATTTTTTTTTTTTTGAGTCAGAGTCTCACTCTGTCAGCAAGGCTGGAGTGCAGTGGCACGTTCATGGCCATCACATCCCTGGCCTGCTGGGCTCAGGTGATCTTTCCACTCCAGCCTTCCGAGTAGCTGAAACCACAGGCATGTGCCACCATGCCTACTAATTTTTTGCTTTACTGCAGAGATGAGGTCTCACCATGTTGCTCAGGCAATCCTCTCGCCTCTGCCTCCCAAAGTGCTGGAATTACAGGCATAAGCCACGCACCCAGCCAAACTAACCAGATTTTGACAAGATGTTTACTAGATGAATATATATATATTTTAGAATTGCTATTCATTTTAAACTGAACAATTAAAAGCAGTTTAGGATATTTATTTGTTTTTGTTGTTTAAATGAGGAAGAAAGAACCAGGAAGCTTTGGGGAGCTGAGTGTCTCAAACTGGGAAAGGAGTAGGCAATGAGAGTCTTAGGAGTGACCATCTAAACTACAGGTGACCAACTGCCCTAGCTCAGATGTACCAAAACATGACTATTCTTCCTCTCCTCTGACAGGTCTTAATTTGAAGGATAACAAAACAAACTTTTTTCTTAAGGATGTAAATTTTAGAGACAGTTCAAAATAACCTCTGAAACTCTTAATTTTGGCAAACTTAAACCATACAAAAACATCCAAGTTAGTCACATAAGCTCTTAGCTTATTTTCACAGTTAATTAGGCAAGTCTAAACTTGTTTAAAGTAGAAAAAAACTTTAATTCATTAAACACAAAACTTTTAACATAGGAGACATTTTGTCCTTTGACTCAACTTCACATTTCATGTTCTACCTTCCTAGAAGAGGAAGCATTAACATGTTATCAGCAACAATGAAGAACCACAGAGAATGTGCAGACCTTAAAAAAAAAAAAGGACTTACCAGAAATCCCAATCCTCTGGAGTTACCACAAGCAATTCCTTGTCATACCCTTTTTCCTTAACTAGGAACTCAGCAAAGCTATTATAAATGAGCTGTGAATAAGAAGACAAAAAGAGATTAAGTATAAAACTCACTCTTCATTCTTAATGTCACAGACCTGAACACCTGATGGAATCATCGATGGCATGGGTGGGGAGGAAAACGCTTGTCATCATGAGGTTCTGCAGTTTAACCCCACCTCCCATACAACTTATCAACCCCTGCAAGCCCCAGTGGCTGTCCCATTAGAAAATAATTATACAGCCAAGGGCAAGTATTCCACTCCTGAACTCTACTGGGTGGGAGACCATAATTCAAGATTGACAAAGTTTTGTAAACTCACATAACACATCACCAAGATGTAAGCCTGTGAACCACTCCATCATTCCATCCGTCTTGGTGCACCCTCGCCAGAAAAGCTCTACCTTAGGGGAGTCTCAGAAAGAAATCCACCTGGGGACCAGAAAGATGACCTGAAGGGGTCACAAAGCCTCTACCAGATCGAGAAATTATCACTTACTACACACACACACACACATACACACACACACACACACACACACACACACACACACACACACAGTGAGGAAAAAGGACAAACTGATAATGAATTTTTCAGGTCAGCCTGGGCTTTGAGAGTGTTAGCTCAGTGAGTTGGTAAGCCTATCCCCAGGAGTGTTGGTTCTAATGTGCTGACAAGTCAGGCTCTGAGAGTGCTGCAGCCCCCAGAAGTGTCTCAGCTTTGGAGTCTCGCCTTCTGCCGGTAGCTCTCCCGGTTCAGCTGGCTCCTTGGTGAGCAAGCCAACCTCCAGGGTGTGTCTCTTTGGCTCCACCGATCCTCTGCAGCTCTTCAGGTTGGGGTTCGTGTCTTGTGCCCAGGAGGAATGAGGGACATGGACAGCCCAGGAGGAATGAGGGACAGGGACTGCCAGAAAGGGAGAAAGCAGTATTTATTGAGAGGACAAAAAAGCTTCCACAATGGGAGGGGACCCAAGGGGACTGCCAATCTCAGGTGGAAATCTGGTGCTTAAATAGCCCTAAGACTAAGCCAATTGGCTAGCACTAGTTGTGAGTTGATTGGTTGGCACTAGCTGTGCTGATTGGTCAGTACTGAGGACCCATTGGCAGGAGGTAGGGGCCTAATAAAGAGTTGACAGGCCTGCACTTGACAGTGAGTTGACTGGTTGTTTTTCTATCCCAGTATTGAATATTTAAACTCTAGCTTGAAAGGTCTACAACTTTAAAATTAAAATTAAAAACAAACAAAAATTCACAACCACTTCCCAAAAAAACAAAAGAAAGGCTTGTAATGAGTTTGTTTACCAACATGTGTATATCAGTCAAGAGGCTGATAGTTTGCTAAACTGTTATCAGGGGACCCACCCTGTCTGCCTAGCTTTTCTCTGGCTATCTCCTCTCTCAAAAGGATGCCTTTGGAAGTAAATACAGGGATAAGTGCTCTGCTGATTGTTGATAGATCTGATTTCTCAACAATAACAACAAATTCTAGGTTTTTGAGTGTAATATCTGCTTTTGTTTTATTTTGTTTTTTGAGTTGGAATCTTACTGTCACATAGGTTGGAGTGCAGTGGCATGCTCATAGCCACCACAGCCTTGATGGGCTGGTCTCAGGTGATCCTTCTACCTCAGCCTCCCAAGCAGCTGGAATGACAGGCATGTGCTACCACATTCAGCTAATTTTTTGATTTATTGTAGAGACAAGGTCTTACCAAGTTGCCCAGGCTGGTCTCAGACCCCTAGGTTCAATCTTCCTGCCTCTGCCTCTCAATTCCTGCTGGGATTATAGGTATGAGTCACTGCACCCCACTTGTTGTTGCTGTTGTTTTAAGAGCTAGCTCCATTTTAGAAGAACTGTGCATACCAAACTAAAAGTGGACAAAAGCGGCATGAGCATCCACATAGGCCCGCACTCTACATCAGAAGACTGTTCTTAGGCCAGCATGAGACACACTTGAACCTGAAGCAGAACTGCGGCCTGGGGGTCAGACTGAGCAGTGTCTGGAAAGGCAAGCCAAGCAGCCTGAACTTTTACATAGACATAACCTACAACAGGGTTTGGAAGCATGAACAGAGCAGTGAGAGGAGCTTCCCTGCAAAGGTGAGGTTGACACTGGCACCCAGACAGGGCAGTCACTTGGGTAAGTCTGGAAAGGAGGGGGCACCCATGCAGAGAAAGAAGGCCTGCACACAGATGGAGGTGGAGGCTGGGGTCTGAGTGTTTGTGGAAAAAGTACAAGCTTCTCATCAAGCAGAGCTGGTGAAGCTGACTAACATCACTACACACGTGCTTCCATTCAGTGCACTGTGACCCCAACCCAGGCCGCTGTGGACAGGCCCACACGGTGTCAACATTGTAGACTAACCATTCCCAACCCTGGTGAAGCTAAGTAACATCACTACACACGTGCTTCCATCCAGGGCACTGTGACACCAACACATGCCACAGTGGACAGATCCACACCTTATTAACACTACAGACAAACCATTCCCAACCCTGGTGAAGCTAACATCACTACACTCATGCTTCCATTTGGGACACTATGACCACACCCAGGCCGATGTGGGCAGACCTACACCATGTCAGCACTATTGTTCCCAAACCTGGTGAAGCTGACTCACATGGGTTCATCCAGGGCACTGTGACCCCAGAACTGTCCTCCTCCATTGGGGTCAGGACTCCTAGTAGTCCCAGAGCTGTGCTCCTCATTTGGCATCAGAATTGCTGGAAGGGCCTGGAGCTGCTCCTCATCTTGTGGGGGATGGTTCTGTGACAGGCCAATGCATAGGAGCCACAGAGAGGAGTGAGGTGAGGAAGGGCAGAGGGTTGATGCTCTGCAATCCCTGCTCTAGGCCCAAGGCTCCTTGCAGCTATCCCAGGTCATGGTAGTCCCCAGAAACCTTTGTGTACAAGGTCCTCCGTGTCCTTTCTCTCAACCTTAGCTGCCGTTGCTGCTTCCTTGTTTCAAGTGACTAATAATACACACTCGATGATGATGACAAATGGGTGCCCTGTGGGCCACAGGCAGCCCACAAGTTATATCTGGTTCTCTCTTAAGGTTGCCAGATTTAAAAAAAAAAGCATGCCTAGCTAAATTTGATTTTCACATAAATAACAAGTAATCTTTTAGTATAAGCATATACCACATGATATATACATATTTGAAATTCAGGTCTAACTAAGTGCCCTGTATTAGTCTTTGCTAAATGTAGCAGCCCTATAATCCTACTGTGTTGGAAGATGATCTAACAGTTACAAATGGAGAGATATCTGGCTTATCTTACAAGAATTAGGAGATCCAGAAAGACTGAGCCCCTGTTTCCTCGGGGTGAAAACTGTCAGGAGTTGAGTGTGGTGCCAGAGACCCCAACTCCTACTCACACATCTAGGTTAACAGAAAGGTACCAGATCTCCCCTGTGCAAGCCCTGGAGAAGCCAGACATCCCTTCCAGGATATCTAGATAAGGGGACACACCCAGCCCCATGTTAGATAAGGGGACATGCTAGATAAGGTGCTAGATAAGGGGACACACCCAGCCCCATGTTAGAGCACACTCACAGCTCTCTGTGATATGATCGCACTGTGTCCAGAAGTGCCCACAACTTCCCACCTCTCCTTGCACCCAGCAGCTCTATCACTCCCCACTTCTGCTTGCACCCTGCTCCTCTGCCACTCCCCACCTCTCCCTGTACCCAGCAGCCCTGTCACTCCCCACCTCTGCCTGCACCCAGCAGCCCTGTCACTCTCCACCTCTTCCTGTGCCAAGCAGCCCTGTCTCTCCCTACTTCCCCCTGAACCCAGCAGCCCTATCACTCTCCACTTCTGCTTGCACCCAGCTCCTCTGCCACTCCCCACTTCCCCCTGCACTCAGCAGCCCTGCCACTCCCCACCTGTGCCTGCCCCCATTTACCCTGGTGCCGCTGCTGCTCACCTCCAGGTCTTGCTGCTTACCTCCAGGCCCTCTCCACCTCCTCCTCAGCCTGCTGCTCCTCAGGGCTCCTCTGAACTGTCACTCCCACTGTCACTCCCTAGGGAGGCCCACCTGGGCTCTGTGGAACCACAGACAGCGTGGTGGGGAGGGAAGAAATCCACAGTGGCCCACCTGCTGAGTGGCCCTGATCTACCAGGCCCTTTCTGGGCCTCAGTGCTCTGACCTCTAAACAGTGACTGTGGTGATCATGTCTGCCTCACAGGATGTTGTAAGAATTAAATCAATCTATGTAAGCAGAATGCTTACTAGAATTGTGGCTGTGCCACGTTCAGTTATTAAAACACCTATCGTTTATTCGGTCATCCCACCACTACTTGAGCCCAGTCATGGCCAGTACCAGCTTGGCACAGGTAACACAAGGTCAACCCTCACCGAAGCTTGCGAAGCTGAGGTGCAGGAGCTGCTGCCTGGTGCTCTGGGCAAGAGTCCACAAGTAAACAGGAAATGTGAACACCAGGTGGTAAGTGCTCTGGGAAACTAGTCTTGTGAAAACTGCAGGTGGGACCAAGTGGAGGGGCTGGCTCTGGGGGTCAGGTGGGTCTCCCTAGGGAGTGACAGTGGGAGTGACAGTTCAGAGGAGCCCTGGCAGGATGCAGGGACCCTGCACAGAGGCCTCCAGGCAGGCACAGCGGGCAGAGAGGTCCAGGAACACCGCCCTTCCTTGAGAACTGTGACCGTCCTCAGCATCACGCCCTCCCTGAGTCTGCTTGAGGGTTCGCATATTTCCCTCCGTGTCCCCAGCTCCAGCCTGGCACTTAGTACACAGGGACTTCATAAAAGATGTCCATAGCAAATAGGATCCAAAACTCCCCAGGTTACTGTTTTCAACTTCTTTTTTTTTTTTTGTTTTCAACTTCTAAACATCACGTTCACTCTAGTCTTTTAGTAAAAATCCTTGTCTCTGAAGATCTTTTATTCTGAAAATTTATGCTCACGAATGGACAAAATTGGCTCCAACATGACAGTGGCTTGAGGATATTCCCTCCAATAAGGTGATGGGAGGAGGGGCCCAGGAGGGGATCTGAGAGGCATGGAGGGAAGGAAAACTGGAATCAGAGACCAGGGAAATGCAGTGGTCAAAGGACCAAGAAGTGGGGGAATCCTCTTAATTCATATGGCTGAGGCAGGCAGCTAGCTAGCCTGTGTGGTAGGAAGTCAGAGGTGTGCAACAGCAGGAAAATAAACTTGTTTTTTGGTGCCTGTGCATAGAACACACACAAGTTCAGGTAGTCACTCTGTTTTGACTTCTGACACACACCTGAACCCACAGAGGCACAGACAGTACCTGCAGGAGAAGCAGCCCCAGCTGGTGCTTGCACCTGTGACCCGGATTCTACCCATCAACAGCGACCTGTTCAAACGGATTGGGTTGTCACTCTGAAAGCAAACACCGGCATTGGCCAGGTGCCACTTGGGCAATGGACATCTCTTACCCAGTGAATCCTTGCGACAATCCTGTGAGGCAAACCCAGTCATTAGCCCCACTGCACAGATGGGGAAACTGAGGAGAAGTGAGGCTAAGTAGCTTGCCCAGAGTCACCAAGCATGTAGGGTGGGGCTGGTGTCCTAAACATGGCAATCTGGCTGAGTTCGCCTCGCTTTGACCACAGTGCTCATAACCAGCTTTTTCTGTCGGGGTCCTTAGAGCTTGGACTAAAAAATTCTGTTTTTTCATGTCCTTGGGAAAAACCACGGGAACAGAGGAGGAAAGACGATGAATTTGAGGGCACCGTTCTGAAACATGCTTCTCCACTGTCCCTTCCCCGGGGTATGGTGAGGACCCAAACTCCAAGTCTGCGGGCAAGGTCAGAGTGGATTCCGAGTGCGCGGAGCACGAAGCAGGCGAGCAATAAACGCGTATTCGCTTCTCCTGGTAAAAGGCGAAGTCACGGCTAAGACCTACAACTGGTGGGCCCTCCACCCACCCCAGCACAGCGCGCCGACCCTCCCCGGCTGCGGTGTAAACACTGGTCGGTGGCTGCCGGGTCGTGCACGCAGAAACATGCGGCCCAGGACCACGCGCGTCCCGAGTCTGGTGGGGCCGCAAGCTCGGGAGATGCCCAGACGGACCCGCAGAGAAGCTCCAGGCCGGGGACCCGAAGGACACCCCGGAGCCTCCCCCCGCCAAGGAGCTACTTCCCCAGCCCGGTCTTGCACAACG